TTAAAGGCATATGTCTCCAATGCTGGCTGTATCCCTGAACACACAGAGATCTATGGGATTAAAGGCCTGTGCCACCACCGCCACACTCTGTCTATGGCTCTAATAGCTCTGACCCCCGGGCAACTTTATTTATTAACATACAATCAAAAATCACATTTCAGTACAATTAGAATACCACCACATGAGGGGGTATGCATGTACATGGGTGGGCATGTGTGCAGAGGTCAGAGGCTGATGTCCAATGACATTCTCAATGATTCTTCACTTTTTTACATTTTTATGATTATTTTTAATTATGTGTGTATGTATATGTGTCTCTGTGTATGTGTGCATATGCCTGTGGAGGCTGGAAGAGGGCATCAGATCCTCTGAGGCTGGAGTTGGAGGCAATTGTGAGCTGACAGTTGTATGTTAGGAACCAAACTCTTGTCTTCTAGAAGAGCAGCAAATACTCTTAACCTCTGAGCCATTTCTTCAGCCTTCTCAGCTTTTTCTGTTTATATAGTGCTGAGGAATCCAAGGCCTTGTGTGTGCCAGGAAAGCACACTACTACTGAGTTACACCCCAAATCCTCTTTTTTCTTTTTTTAAGGCCCCTCATCTGCAGCTCACTAATTCAGCTAGGCTGGCCGGATATCTACCTGTCTGTACTCTCCAGTGCTGGAGTTACAGAAGTCACTGTCAACATCTGGTTTTACATGGTTCTGGAGACTCACTCACGTCTTTATATTTGTGCAGCAGGCATGTTACAGACTGAGTCATCAGACCAGCCTTTTACTAGCTAAGCTCTTTTATTTTTAACAGTATTGCAATAACATAGAAAGAAATTAATTCATATTTCAAAGCTGTAAAGTCATGCTCTGAATCCTGGCACTTCACTCAATGACAGTCTATATTTGCAACAGTGGCCCCATAAGATTATAATGGATAATATAATTTCATTATACTATGATAATTTGTATTATTCTAAAATTATATAATACTTTCCAGTGTGTGTCTGTGGTGGTTAATACTAGGATTTCGAACCTCTCAAAAGACAAACCTCTAGACATGTCTGTGAGGGAGTTTTTAAGTTGGGTTAATTGAGGTGTGAAAACTCATCCTGAATTTGAGTGTCTCTGTTCCATGGGATGGGATCTGTCTTAGTCACTGTTTTATTACTGTGAAGAAACACCATGACCAAGGCAACTCTTGTGAAAGAAACCATTTAATTGGGGGCTCACTTACAGTTTCAGAGGTTTAGTCCATTATTATCATGGTGGAAAGCATGCCAGCATACAGGCAGGTGTGGGAGCAGTAGCTGAGAGGTACATCCTGATCCATAGGCAGAGAGAGAGAGAGAGAGAGAGAGAGAGAGAGAGAGAGAGAGAGAGAGAGAGAGAGACTCGGCATGGACTGTAGATAGCTTTTAGTGTAGAGCACTAGTCTAGCATGTCCTGGGGTCCATTTCCAACATTTCCAAGAATCAAGATACTGGTGCCCCGAGACACACATTCTTTAATATATAATATCCGTAATAACTAGTTTTCTGAATGTCAGCCTCCTTGCTGAGAACTATTGCACCAGCATCACAACTTCTATTATAAAAACAACAGGCGCTCCCTGTGAAAACAGGGAAATAGTCTAGAACAGTTCTGTCTTGTGACACCCATGCACCTCTTTTCTCTGAGGATCAGTTTCCCCTTTCACCTTACTCCCCTCAGTGTGTTCCAGACCAGCAACATCATGTGGGCGTGTGCAACAGGGGACAGAGCTTAGAAAAGCACATCTAGGCAGGGCTCCTGGTGAGTCTGGCACCCTCACATCTGAGCATTCTGGGTCACATTTAATCACAAGCCAGGCTGTTCCATTCACTGCAGTCCTAGGACGGGTTGGACTCTAACCCTTTTGTCAGGGATCTGTTCCTGAAGATCATGTGCAAACCCCCATGAAGACCCAGAAGTTATGTTCTCAGGAAATGCTTGACAGGTTGAAGAGACTCTTGTCACTCAATGTCTTTATTGCTTATATGACTTTCGGGGAGGAGGGGCCTTGTGCATCTGGTAAGTTTCAGGGACTTCCTGAATTTTGAGTTGTCCACTTCCTGAATCTTAACAGGCCTCACTTTAGAATTTCCTGAGTTGTAGTAGGCTTTCTTGGACTGCCAACCCCAAATCATGACATGGAGACTTATGATTAGTTATGAATGCTCAGCCTTAGCTTATGCTTGACCCACTAGCTCTTATAACTTAAATTAACCTGTTTATCTTCATCTACATTTTGCCTTGGGGCTTTTACCTCTCTTTCATTCTGTATGTCCTACTTCATGTCTGGCTGGCTAGTCCCAGGCATCTCCCTCTCCTTCTCCATTGTTCTCTCTCCTACTCAGCTTAGATTCTTCCTCCTACTTATTCTCTCTGCCTGCCAGCCTCACCTATTCCTCCTCTGCCTAGTTATTGGCTATTCAGCTTTATATTAGACCAATCAGGTGCCTTAGGCAGGAAAGATAAAACAAATTCAACACATCTTTACATAATTAAACAAATTGTAACAAATGCAACATAAATAACTGTGATGCATCTTTATGTAATTAAAGTAATATTCTGCAACATAAACAAATTTAACACATCTTTACATAGTTAAAGTAATATTCCACAACATTTCCCCCTTTTTGCCTAAAAAAAAGAAGGGTTTTAACTCTAACATAGTAAAACTATATACAATAATAACATTTATCACGTAAGAATTACATTTATAATATCCAGTCCATTTGTATTTGGCAAATAAAGAGAAAAGCCTCCATTATTTATCCTATCTTGGTGAGTCCAAAGTTTTGTACCTAATTTACCTTCTATCATAATTAAGGAAAACTGTAACTATAACTATCGAGTATTCAACTCCATCAAAGACCTCAGAAGGATATAATATTACCGAGTAAATAGGAAGTGCAGTGCAAGCCCTTCCAAAACTATAGAAATGACGGAGACATCTGGCTACCTGAACAGTCACTCAAGTTTCCTCTGCAATGTTGGGGCATCCATCTTCAGCCTACAGACCTAGAATATATGACAGACTTTTCTATGAAGCAGAAATTTTGAAGGACTGTCCCACCTAGTCTTAGCAAATTCAGCAGTCTTTTTCCTTTATGTCCTGCTTGTCCAGTTTGTACAGCATACTGTCAGTAGTCAAGGCAAAGGCAGTTTCTCATCCAAATAGATAGTTTTGCCACATTGAAAACAAACTAGGTTCTTCAGTGCCCATCATCCTTTTATGAAATAGATTAGTGCTGCTAGGAGCAGATGTGTCTCACTGTCATGAAAAGTCCTATGCTGCTAAACATCTTAAATGCCATATTCTGTAGGTTTCTGAAGTGTTTCAAGAACATCTATCTATCTAAAATATATCTGTTTAATCTTGAAAACATACCTAACATGACTACAAGTATGATTGTTATAGATGACTAACCACTACCCTGAATTTCTTAATTATACATTACATTTTTAAATGAGCTCCATACATACAATACCCCAAACAAGAGTAGAAGCATACATATGGTATAACCAAAATAACTTTAAATTTGTAATAATATACCCAAATACACACCAATGTAAAATATTTGAGGTTAATAGTTTCATTTTTATTTTATATTCCTATATCCTCACCTAAATGATGACAAGCATCTATAACCCACTGAATAACCAAAAACCACCCACCCCACCTCCTGGGAATGTAGGTGTTGTGTTCTCTAGACTACTTCCTGTTGTCTAAGGGTGACAGCATCTCCAGGGGACCCTGACAGAATTGAGGCAATGGTCAAGTCCTGGAAAAACTAGTTGTAACATTTGTTGTCCAGTCTCTTGCAGAGGGTTCAGTATATACATTACCTGTCTTGTAGTTTTTCTCGGTTTATTTCCTTATGTCTGCAGCCAAGATTTTCAGGAGGTCTCCACTGATCAAACCTGATCTCTATTAACTTTGAAGGAATCCACAGCTTTTCGATTCCTGAGGAAACAGAAACATAACCTCTTCCCCAACACAATACATTTTCTGAATTCCATTTTAAAGTATCCCTAAAGTATCTAGGATGGTTTAATTCAGCAGTTGCTTTTACAATTCACTGTCTCTCAGCAGCTATCATTCATTCATCAGCACCCAAAAAAATTCAAAGTCAACACACCATACAGGGTCCAGACTTCCTGTGTATTTCCCATCATTACATGACTTATTCTTTTTATATTACTTTACTCTTTCTTTAAAGACTTTATTATTTATAAACTTT